CTGCTATTTTTGAAAAATGGTAAATTTATATATATATATATATATATATATTATTCATTAGTTATTAACTAATAACTATTCGTTATTTAACTATTAGTTAATCTTTGCACACGTGTAAATAAAATAATATAAGTAATAATTATTTTATATATATAATACTTAAAATTATTTGCTAAATAATGAACAAATCACATTTTAAAAAATTTTATTATTAATAAAATAAAGATATAAATATAAACAATTTAACTTACATATAATTACTATGTTGATTGCAATAGTTTAATTTTTGCAATTTATAAATTATAATATTAGTAAATTGAACAATATAAACATTAACTATTTAAATTAGAAACATATAACTACTATATCACAGGTCTTACACACTCAAAACTTAAGAATCACATAACATACTGCTTTGAGAGTTTTCGTGAGTTTTGGAATCTTAATCGAGATATCTTCGAGATCGTCACCCACAAAGATGAACGGAGAACATGTCAGGTCCTACGACAGAAGTCTCGAGGTAACCCGAGGCCACACGAACCACAACATGAGTCCCCGCAACCCCTGCGACCACTGCAACCCTGAGAGATACAACGCAAGGAGTCAAAGCCGCAACCAGCGCGACCCGCACACGCACGCCGCAACAGCATATGAGCGCACACTAGCCCAGTTGCGATCAGTGACGCCTAACGATGCACAAGAAATACCAAGCGAGACGTCATCCTGGCGAGCAGCCACGGAGCACACGACCAAAGGCGAGGAGGACGAAGGTGAGAAGATCATCTCAGAACCGTTCGTCCGGCACCGTAGGCCGTGTAATTGTCTCAGAGTCTACAAAAGTTTTTAACTGTAAGAGTTCAATCCTTACTTTGTTCCACTGCGCTTAGGTTTATTTTTGTAGGTTAATTCGTGACTTCCAAAAATAGATGTTCCTCATAGAAAGCCAACAAGTGGTATCAGAGCACTTGGTTTAATTTGTTTTTGTGTAAAGTTTGATTTTTAAGGCTTGAATGGTTCATTTGTGTACAAGCGCAACCATATATCGCATAAATTAGTTTTGCTAATTGATAAAATTAGTCTCTAGCTGGTGGAGAAGGCTTTAGGGGCTTGGGTGCAGTTTTCTTCGTTCAGAACAGTCATGTTTATTACTCTCTCAAGCTTCTTTTCTTTTGGTTTGCGCAGCTAGAGTAGGACAACTTAGTCTAGTTGCCAGTACTAAAGTTGGGTTTTCAAACTTCAATGATGAGTTGTTTATTCTTGTTAGATGGCAAACAAGAGGGCTCATTTTCAGCTTCACTGGAGTTCATTACTTCCCAAGAGGAAGCAGAATTTCATGCCCTTTGATTGAGTCTAGAACTAGCTCAAGGTAACGGATGGCGTAATTTCACCTACTTCAATGATTCTCTTCAGTTGCTCATGTCTTGTCCAACTTCCCCGTTTCTTGTTGTAATGCTTTGTTTTTTCTTTGTGTTTGGACATTCATACTTCTGCAGGTTTGTTGGGTTGTAGTTCTTTTAGGTGTTCAGTTTAGTTTGTGTTCTGCTAGCTATTGTTTAGCTTTGTTTGCAATTGAGGGGAGGTTTCTTGGATCTCCTCGGGTGGAGTCTTTTCTATTTCTCTTTGTGGCGGAGTTGTTCTCCTTGCAACCGGTTGGTTGTTCGATTGTACATTCTTTGGAGTAATGAAGTTTATGTTGCCGTTTTTGAAAAAAAATAATAATAAAATAAAAAAAAAAAACAAACTGCAGGTGGCATTGCTTTCCTTTCCTGACAATGTAAGGATCTATTTATTCAGAATCATAATAGAGAACAAAAACTGGACATTAAACTCCACTGACATAGAGGTCCCAATAATTCCCAGTTATATATGAAATATAACCAAAGTTAAAAGAATGAAATAATCGAACCCGAAAATGTTGAAAGAAAGAAACAAAAAAACAATAATAATAATAATAAATAAGGATCATATTTTACTCATCATCCTCAAGTCCGGGAATGTACTCCAAGCTGACATCAAACACGACTGGACTATTGGCAGCCACACGCGGCCTTCCAGGTGCTGACGCCAGGCCCTTTGGAAATGCCAACTGATCAAACAAAATTCAAAAATCGAAGAATTCAACATCTTGATAACGATCAGTTCGTAACAATGTATGTGCATGACAACATATATATTGGTGCATATGTAAGTGTGTAAGTTTCATCGTAGAGAAATTCTGATGATAAGTGCGGATTAAATTCTGCATTTTTTATTTGTTAGTTACCTTTTTATTTCTTGAATATTCATCGTTAACTACGGTATCTACACGCTCAAAGAAAGGGAGAGACTAATATTTAATTTGTATGTTTTCTTACAGGTCCCGGAATGTAAAGTCGCCGTTTGCCTCCAACTTTCATACCGAGGATTCCTTCATCAAGCCCCTTGATGACCTTTTCAAAGCATTTCAATTTCAGTTAAAAATAAAAAATAAAAATAAAAAAAAAAAATAAAAAAAAATCGACAAACAAGAAAATGCTCAGTGTCCAAGTGCTCCATAATTCAGACAACATATGAAATCTTGAAAGTGATGTTGAGAATAAAGAACAAGAAACAGGATTATTTCCTCAAAAAACAAGAATCTCACCTGACCAGAGCCGACCCGGAAAATGTAAAGCTGACCTTTCTCGAGTGAACTATGCAAATTCCAGATACCAAAATTGTGGAAAACAAGAGATGTAAGGACAATGATTTGCAAATCTCATTATATGATCACATATACGAGGTACCTGTCGAACATTTGGCCAGAGGGAACCATGGCAACATAATTTGCAGCCACCTGTTTTGAGATGGAATATGGCATGTCAATCAAAGTGAACCACATCAGAGAACATTCGGTCAAGGCTGCTTTTTTTACACGAATAAAATGGAAAAAATTCGGTTGAAAAAGAAATCCTGTCGAGAACCCTTTCCTTACTCTTCATAGTAAAAACGATGTGAAAGAATGTTGTGAAAAGAAAATATGAAATTTCAAAATGTCACGAGATATGAGATCTAATGCTTGCACCGATTAGGTTGCTTTTTTGTCTATATACCTGAAATCCAACGGGAGGACTCGGTCCATTACCAACTTTAATATCCTTGTATTGCAAACCAGATTCAGTAGTTACCATTGGTACCTTAAATGACAAATAAAATCCGTAGTTAGCCAACATTACTGGATCCATCAGGTCCACAATATTTACCTTTATTCACACCGTATGTTGTGAAATGCAATCGTATAATCAAGCTTACAGCTTCAAGAATCAAGATGCTTTTAGATAGATTAGTTATAGTTATATTGTGACGCCAAATGAAACTTCTTCAGACGACTCGAAAACTTTCCGAGTATCATCTTCTCTCTCAAGTGTGACGTAAAACCTCAGAAAGTGTGTGATGATCAAATCATGTCCATTGACGGTGACACCAACCATTTCAATGTATCAGTTTCCTTACCATCACTAAACAAAAATCCTCGACCGCAAGAAAAATTGAAAACAATTTTTCTGCGTGCGGAGCATAGTGAACTTTCGTGACAAAAATTACTTCAGCACATTCCTCGATATTTTTCGTTATCATTAATGAAAACGATTATGTGACATCCCACAAGACAAAACAACCAAAAAGGCATAAAAGCACACCTTCACAAGAAGAGAACCAAGGAAGGGATCTCATAGAAGTTGAAAGAGGTAATGTAATCTCACCATACATTTTCAAGCTCTTTCTCGCACGTGCCGTCACATAGCCTCTGTTTCTCCTCGGGCGGCAACCCGGCTGCCTCCACAAAAGTACAACCTCCCAAAAGGGTCGAAACCCCAACAAGCCCAAGCCCGAGCCCGACAAAATTCCGGCGCCCCACAGACGAACCACACTCGTCCCAATCGAGCTCATTAGTCCTAATTAGTGGTCTAATTGTTGAAGCTAAGGACTTTATTCCGGCCACAATGTTGAATTCGTACACTCTTCGCCGATTAAACGACTTGTTAATTCGGCCAAAATTACAACCTAAAGAAAACATAAACAAGATACACCCATATTGTGTTAATTACTCTGTATTGCACCTTTTTTTTTATAAAATATTCAAGATTAATTCGATTGAACAAATGATTAAAAGGGATTATATGAATTCACTGTTCTGGAAAAATAATAAAATGCATTTGGAAAAAAAAATGAAAAACACAATAAAAAAGGGTGTTTGTGCTTACACAGAGGAAGTTGCAACGATGATAATGCTGCCATTTTCATACACGGAGGAAGTTGAAGAAAATGCTATTATTTTATTTTTTTTTTTTTTTTATGAACTGCGTTGAATTTGAATGGATAATTATCAATGTGACAATATCATCTATAACAGCCACGTGGCATTTCGTCATTTATACTAACCCGACGTCTTGTGGATGCAAGTTGGTTGTAGTGTTATTACCGTGCGTCCTGGCACACCTAACATTAGGCATGCTAAGATAGTTTAAAAATGAACATGTTACATTGCTGCGTTTCGTTCGTTGGGTTCTCTCATCTTTTCTTCCAGGTCAAAAGAGTACTACTTACTTTCTCGCATTTCATTTAAGGTGCCGGAGCGTCCCAAATAAAATGAACATGTGTAAACATGTTTACACATGTTCATTCTATTGTGTAACATGTTCATTTTAAAAATATTTTGACACATTTTGCTAGGTGTGCCAGAGCGCACCTAAATATTTGCATGCTGGTTGGAGGCTCAGGACAGTGTGAAAGTACAAGAATGTCCAAAATTAGGAATAAAAGATATTTATTATTAATATTTTTATTTTTATCTTTATTTTTATTTTCTTGGGAACAATATAAAAAACATATATTCACAACACAAACAAGACTGATGATCAAATATTTAAAACCCAAAAATCATAAAAGTACAACACAAATTCAAGAAATGAGTAAAAAAAACATGTTATGCATCCTTAATGATTATGGGAGAAGAATTCAATAACCATAGTCGTACCCAAATTAAA